AAAACACACACACACACACACACACACACACACACACACACACAGAGATACATTTTCTGCTGATTAACATAGCTCCTGGATTTGTTTTTGTCTTTAAGGCTTAAAAACATTTCCATAAAAATTAATATTCCTCCTCCATCTGCACAAAAAGAAAGAAAGATGGGGAAGAAATGGAGGTTGGTCAGTTTGCATACTTCTCCATTGAGGTTTATTTCTGAAGCCAATATTTGCACTCAGTTTATGACTTAAGAATCTGTGCTGCTGAGCTGGATTACATGCTTTGTTAATGTGTGTGCACGCATCTATTAAGTGTCTCATAATTAACAACTAAATTTCTTACTATATTGTTTATTAGTGGTTCAAAGCAGTTTTTTTTCCCACTGCAGCTTTTAAACACTGCATAATGTTATAAACACTCAAATCCACCTTTAGTGTATCTAAATAAGCATGATATATCATCGCATATGATACATTTATAATGATTTTTACCCAAATTTGCAATGAAAGAAACTTGAATATCAACAATTTCCCAGCCAGAAAACCCATGTGGCCTTATCACTCACTTATGAATGTGTAACACAACATAGCATTGCACTCAATTCCAAATCTTAAACATGTATCATCTGCCTAATCTTGACAAATATGAAAACAGACATGAAAGTGTTGGGTTTTGCATTTCTCTCAAGCGACATGCTGCTTGATCATATTTAATTAGTTTTATGTCGCATTAAAAGTGCACAAATGACCACTTTCCTGACAAATTCCTTGTATGAGACATATAAGTCTTTAACAGGCAACTTTTTTCTCCTGTTTCTCTTCTGTATACTTTAAAAGTGAAGACATGAAAGTGATAAAAAATTCTGTGATGGCAAAACACTTCTTTTTCCTCCTGCGGATGATTGGCAGGAAACGTACTGAATTCTGGCACGAAGAAGTAGTGAAACAGAAACTCTGATAAGAATCAAATTCTGGGTTCATGTTTACTGGGATGGGAAATGTTTTTCATATGGTGTAAAAGTCAATGGGAGCTACCTCCTCAAAGAAGAAGAAAACATGATTTCATGAACGATACAGAGCTTGGAAAGGCATTATCAGAAAAAAAGGGCAACTTGAATGTCACAAAGAAAGGAAAAAAAGCCATATAGGAAGGGGGAAAAAAATGTCCCCAAGAGTAAATGTTTATGTTTTATATCAAACTCTTACATGACTCATGTCTCATAATTTAATCACAAAAGTGATTAATTCACTTTTCACCTAATTCTTATGTTTTATGACACAACAGCAAAAGAAGCTAAACAGCATAATGTGAGATATGAGTCCTTTGAGATATACAGTACAATATATATAGAAGACAAACGCTTGAATTTTAGACAAAAAAGAGAGTGGTCTCAGGGGGAAAAAAAAATCTCTCATTATTTTTATGTTTTTTTAGTAGCATTTCCTTTGTAACTGTCCACTTTGGCCTCATTATTCCAAAACTTTCATCAAAAGGCTGAGGTCATACATTGTTAAGCTGTCAGCGAGGCAAAGGGAGGTGAAAGGATAAACAGCCCGAAAACAAGTCCAAAAAGTCACACACACACAGACCTATTAGACACGAGGAATACACAGAAGACAAGAAACTTTTCCTCATCTGACAGTGTGCGCATGTTTATGTAAGCTATATCCTAATTAAAATCAAACAAACAAACAAAAACCCAAACAATCTCTGTATATAAATGGAGATAAAGTCTACTTGACGCCAAGCTGACTCTCATTTAATAAACTTATCACTACCATAGCTCAACAGGAAACAAAATGCTTATAATTGCTTATAACCAGAAAAAAAACAAGTACCAAATTTAGGTTTTTTTACAGGTAATTTCAGGGTTAACACTTCTTAGTGAGGTACATCATGATGGAAACTTGCACTGCCCGTATTCAGGTTATCTTCAGGTTTGATGATCACAATTAAAAAAATACATTCTTTTGTTTTTTAACTTTGCCTACCCTAATTCCAAATAAGTTGAGGCACTACGTAAAATGTAAATCCAGTAAATCCATATTTTATTCACAACAGACCACAGAAAACATGCTTAAATGTTTCAAATGAAACATTTGACTATTTCATGAAAAATAACAGCTCTTGAATTTGATGGCAGCAGAACATCTCAGAAAAAGTTGGGACGGGGAGAATAAAAAGGCTGGAAAAGTAAGTAGTAGAGATGGCACGATACAACTCGATACCGATACCGATATGATATCATAAATTTGGATATCGGCCGATACCAATATGAATCCCATATAGTGTATTTTGTAATCAATACATTTTTTTTTATAAATATCTTGCTGCATTTTGTATAAGTTCATACTCAAGTTTTAAAAAACAAAACACTAAAACTATTCTGTTATACCTGTATGCAAAAAATACACTGCACCCAAAATATTTTCTAGTTCAGCTACACCAGTGGTTCCCAAACTTTTTTTGCTGGGCCCCCCTTTGTTTTACAGAAAAATGTTTGCGCCCCCCCTCGCGCGCACACACACGCACGCACCAACACGTCCTCCAACCACACACACCCATATTTTGCTCAATTGCGGTTTATTTCACACCTCAAACATTTAGTAAACAATTAAGCAAATACAAGTAATCTGCAGGTAGTAAGAAAATAAACTACTAACTCTTTTACGCTACGTCC